TAATAGGAGCAGCAAAGTTTAATAGGAGAGCATGTAATAAATCTTGGAAAGAATGTGATGAGATAGGAACACTTATCTATCATAATTAATCAGTTCTAATTTCCATTTGTCTTCAACTCTTCTTTAAATTATTTAATTCTCCATGACATTACTTTGGTCATGTTGTCTAAAGGGACCAATGCCTGGAGAAGAATATCATGCTTGGTAAAGCAGGGGGTCAACAAAAAGAGCAAGACTCTCAATGAGATTAATTAACACAGTGGCTACAACCATGGATTCAAACATAGCAAGCATTGTAAGAACTAAATAGTACTTTGTTTCTTGTACGAAGAATTTCTGTGAGTATGCAACCTGATGGTACCTAACAACAACCATGATACTTTTCCATATAAACTAAATAGCATGGGATCTCTGTCCTTTATGTTTCCATAGGAGTTGGTACCACTGTTTTAACATTATTATAACATGTGCATGTACGTTTCACATTTATATTACACAAAACAGAAAGAGTTACTAAGAACAATTTAATTGGTCACACAATGAAGATGTCATAGCATGAAGTCAATGTTTTTATGGCTACTGAGGGATATAGAATCAATATAATTCCCCATCCAGGCATCAACTCCCTAAAGGATATTTCCCCTGCCAGCAACTAACTTCACACTCTCTCATGAGCTAAGGGGTTATATCTGGTCTTGTGTTCCTCTGTAAATATAATAGGGAGGAACAATGAGGGATATAATGCCCCTTGAGTCATGTTTATGCTATAAGGATTCTGAAGACTGGAACATACCTACACTTGAGAACATTTTCACTGGCTATAAAGTCTTTCTCCTTATAAGCGGAATGATTTAGGGCCCTGTGACTTGAAGGGGCTCCTCAACACCTTCGTTAAGCACCTGCTTCCATGTTTATTTTTCTGCTTCAGCTGAGGAAGAATAGAACTATACAAGAGGTAAATCTCTCCTCTTCCCCCACCACCCTCTGTCTCTCTCTCTCACACACACACACACACACACACACACACACAGGCTCACAGTTAAATTACCACAGATAGAGGCTGGTAGTAGCATGACTGTCTACCTGCTGTCACCCAAGAGTGATTTTTTTTTCTGACTAGCAAATTAATTGTTGGCAGAATACTGATCTTCAGAGATAGACAGTCATATTTGATACTAAAGTGTCAAATTCAAATGTTTGTTGTAAGTTTGTGTGTGTGTGTGTGTGTGTGTGTGTGTGTGTGTGTATTTGGGGTACGGAGAAGAGGTTTGATTGATGACAGTCTCTACATAAAATGATCTCCATATAACCCATTTCGTCTGCACATTTTTCTTCTTTCCACTCCCTCATAGTGTTACTGAACTCCAACAGTTTAAAACTCATTCCTGTTGGGTTAGAACCAACTCACAACTGACCTTCCAGCAGGTTTCTAAGCCTGTAATTATCATGGGACAATATTGAGAGTGCCTCCTCTGTGTTCCTACTACTCTATGACGACCTATCCAGGCCTTTTTTATGGTAAGGCCCAAGTCCCTGCTAGATCACACACAACCAGTTCTTCTGGCTCTTGCTTCATGGCCCAATCTTGAAAGAATCTGAAGGAGGTTTGTTATCCATTTCTACAACTTCTTTGGTCCCTCATAGCTTGAAAAACCTACAAGACACAAGAGAAAATTGTTGCTTTTCAAACGGAGACTGAACAGATTATAAAATTTTCCTAGAAATCTGGATACATAGCTCTTTGTGGTTCTGTGCTATCTTAATGAATGGGCTACTTATAGTTAAGTCAGTTATTTTTACTATTAGGTGAATGTTGCAGATAGAATGAAAATAAAATACTGGAGAATACTAATATGTCAAATAGCTATTTCTTAGTGAGCTATTCTATAAGCTAGTCTTTTCTTTCATGTTTTTAAAAATGCATTAGTTAGCATTCATTATTCCAATGGTACAAGAATATAGACTGATGTGAAAAGTTAAGGAACTTGGTAAAGGATCTCCTCCCTGTAAAAGACCTCACAATTTCAAGAGAACTCTGAGTGATTTTCAAGTCTATGCAAATCTCCTGTAATATATCTCTATTCAAAAAAACAGGAAAAGATTCAGAGGGTCAAAGACAAATCACAATCTCAAAGAATTTGCAGGTGGTAGGCACTAAATCAAGAAGATTTAGAACTAAAAGACATGTGTGTGTGTGTGTGTGTGTGTGTGTGTGATCCACTTCACTTTGGAAATAAACTTTAGGCTGAGCTCTCTGCACATCTAGAAAAGTGCAAACTTACCCATAGAAACACATGTTGACTTTATTGATCTTCTGTGGAACACAGCCATGGAGAAGCATTTTTTTTTAATTTAGGTTGTTTATTTTTCATTTCAATGAACATCTACTGAGATTTTGGAATTCCATTCATTCATTGTTGCACTCTTCTCCCCGCAAAAACCCCTCGTCCCTCCCCCCCATTTGCTCCTCTCCTTGAAAAGCAAAAGAAAAACTCCCTCATTGGTACACAATC